TCTCTCCTTTCCTTTCTCCTTTCATCCTTTGTTTATGCTTTTTAGTAAATTGTGCACATACTTTAATTTTAGAACAGATAGTGACATAAAGAGAAATAAAATCTATTTTTTTTATTTTAATGGAAAATTTGAAAAGTGGAAAAACATCACCCAACCTACCAACATCAAAATACAAATAAAACTGATTCACATTTTAGTGATTTCTAGTCTGTCCCTCTCACCCTTAGTTTTTGCATATCGAGTGGTTGTGGTTCTTGGTTTTGTTTTGTTTTTTATTTTTCCTGTTTTAAACATACTATATATACAGGTTTGTATTTTACTTTTGTAACTTAGCATTGTGACTTCAATATTTGCTTCTGTTGCTTAACTTTTGGAGATATCATTTTAATCGCCAAGTAATATTCCTCAATAATGTCCTGTCGCATGGGTAAACTGTGAGTAAGTATAAGCATTGAACATGTAAGTTTCAAGTTCAAATATCTGATTATCATTTCTTTACTGTTTCCACTGTACCATGCTGTGTTACTAGAATTGGTGGCATATTTTATCCCAATTGTACATGAAATTCTTGATGTTATAGCATTCAAGGCAAACAGGTGGTTAAATGAAAAACAGGTTCTTCAAAGTCAAAAAATAATGTTTACAATATTTATATTCTCTGAACCTCAGTCACCTTTTCTGTACAGTTATCCTCCATCCCCTGACAGGGAGCCCCTGTGATAACCCAAAGATTAACACAGCAAACCTGAATTTCCAAAACCATGGTTTCATGAAAATTACTTTATTGAGTTTTCTTTGATCATATAAAATTTCAACCCCAGAATTTCTAAAGGAAACCATTTAGAGAGACAGTAAAAATAAAATAGGAAAAGTAAAAATAAAATAAAAATTATAAATTGGGGCCCCTCCACCCCAACCCCAGCGTCACACACTTAGCAGCACATTTTTAAACAGAAAGAAAGATGGTTTCTTTTTTTCCAATATTGTCTTTCTCTTCTTTTTCCCAATAGAGCTCCAGGTGATTTATCCATCGCACACCCCGCCTAATCTTAATGAAAGGTAATAGTTTTCTTTTTGGGTAAATCAGGTGGAAATCCATGCTCCGGGATGCTTCAGGAGCCCTTAGCTTTCCAAAGATGAGGAGGGAGGAAGGAGAAGTGGGGTGCAGGGAGAGGTCCCCTAAGGAAGGAGGGGTTCAATCAGGGTGAGGGCTCTTGGAAATCACACACAAAGGACCTCCCAGTGCTGCTCCCCTCTGTCACTCAGTCACTCACAGAGTCCTGGCAGCCAGAACCACAGAGATGGAAGGGCAGGGGAACTGAGTCTGAGCTGGAGAGAGAGAGCAAAGGGCCCACAGGCAGTGCCCATGGTGAGGAGATGAATGAATGCCCAAAAGGAAGTTGCAATCTTCCTTGCTCGGGCATACTTCCAAAGTCTAAATGATCATTCAATGAGTAGTCATTAAACTGCCACACGGCTTGGCACACACTAGACAGTCAATAACATACCTATGGGATCAATGATTAAAATGCCTTAACTGTGCTCAGCCCTGTGGAAACCTGTGGGGGGGTGGGGGTGGGGGAGGGAGGTACATAAGACTTCTGATTCACAGTCTTGGTCCTTGAGTCTGGCCCTCTACAATCCCTTCCCAAAGCATGATTATTTAACTCCACTGGAAAATGGGTTGACACTAGATACAAAGAAAGCACAGGCCAGTTGGTTACGGTGAGAGGCAGGAATAAAATCCCAGCGCTGCGGCATTGGGAAGCAACAGATTACAACTTGCGGGCCCAGGGCTCCACACAGGGGTACCCCTGGCCTGACAGGGCTGGCCTCGCCTCCTGCTCTCCACTGGCCCTTCCATCCCATGCTTCACACTTGCAGAGGCACAAACACATGGACTGACAGGATCACCCCACCAGGCAATGTGTAAGGGGGAGTGGCTTTTCAAAGGCCCCCCATCGCCTCAGTTACTGACATTCACAGGCCATTAAGCAACATGGCAGTGAAGGCCCGACAGTGCAGTGACCATGGGGAAGGCTCTGCTTGGGAACAGGAACTCCAGAGCCTGGGTTTGAATCGCAGCTCCTCCACGCAGCCAGCTGTGGCCGCGGGCAGCCACTTAATATCCCTGTGCCTGGTTTTCTTATCTGAAATGTGGCGACAGTGGGTTTAGGCCTCACGGGCTGTGGTGAGAATAGATGAGTGTGAACTCGTGGGGCCACTGAGAACAGTGGTCAGCGCGCAGGGCACACCAGTGAGTGCTGAGGCCCTTTGTTGTTCTCTCTTCTGCGCCCACGAGCCCACGTGGGAACTTAGCATGCCCAGGGCCCAGGATGAGGATCGTGGTTCCTGGCCAGCTTTATGCCAAGCACACCCACCGTCCTGTCCTTTCTCCATAGGTTAGCTGAGTGGGTTTTCTGCTCCCGGGGTCCTGCGGAACACGTGGTGATCAGAGAGGTCTGTCCGTGTGCTCTGCGGCCTGGGTCCCCAGAGTCCAGGTCTGAACCTTGGGTACTCAGACAGGCCCTGGATTTTCCTCACACGAGGTTGCTGAGAGAATGAACCCTCCACAAACCCCTTTAGGCAAGAGGCGTTACACTCATGTTGGTTAAGGTAGGGAGTGGGAAAAGAGAGCAGATTCAAGTCAAGTGTTTCCTGGGTCCCTTATAAATAGGAAGGCTCCCTCTCCCACTCCACAACCACCCCCTAAAGGTCCCCAAGCACATGCCAGGCCCCTTCCCCTCTCTAAGACAGCCTGGAACCACCCATGCTCCCTGGGACCCAGGATCCAGTGGGTCTCCCTTTGTACTCTTCCCATTGCTGATGGGCCAGGGAGCAAGTGTTTGTCCCAGGTTGGTGGGTGCTGAGGCCACAGCGAGCCTGGCAGGTGCCCCAGAAGGCCCTGCAATGTCCCAGACTGGGGCAGTCATAGCAGAGAGAGTGCTAAGCAAATGTACACAGAGATGGAGATGACCAGCGCAGTCCACCATTGCCTAAGTATAGTCCCTCTGTTGTTGGCGTCTGTGACTTCTCAAGGTCCTTTCAGGAGGGTTTGCATGATCTCCTTGCCTCTCAGTGGGCACCTGGGGAGTGCGACAGGACAGACATTATCCCACTAGTACAGTGATGGGGAACCTATGACGCGTGTCAGAGGTGACACGCGAACTCATTTTTTTGGTTGATTTTTCTTTGTTAAATGGCATTTAAATATATAAAATAAATATCAAAAATATAAGTCTTTGTTTTACTATGGTTGCAAATATCAAAAAATTTCTATATATGACACAGCACCAGAGTTAAGTTAGGGTTTTTCAAAATGCTGACACGCCGAGCTCAAAAGGTTCGCCATCACTGCACTAGAAGGACAGAGCCCAGAAGAGACTCCTGACCTTGTCTTGAGGCCTGTAGCAGGGCAAGAGTTGACACTGTGTCCACTAATTCTTAAGCCCTGCGGTCAGCTGGCTAGGACCCAAGCATCTTGCCAGGTGACCCGGAGGCCCCTTTCAATGCTACATCCTGGGAACAGCTGCTCTGCCCCAGCCCACTGGCCAGCACAGACCCAGGCCCACCCACGGAGTGGCACAAGACCTGCCTGGAACGCCCACAGATGTTGAAAGAGAACAGCTTTCTGGTGGTGTCTCCTGGATGGAAAGAGCCTCCTCCCCTCTCTCTTGGCCTCTTTACCAGCAGCCCCTTCCCTGCTGCTCCTGCCTCAGGAACCCTGACCTAGGCCTGTCTCAGGAAGGGCTGCTGAACTCTGTACTTCCCCTAAGAGAATGACAGCAGCCAGCATTGCTCCCACCCTCATTTGCCCTCACCTGGTCCCTTCTACCCTGTGAGTCCCCCATTAGGGATGGGCAGAAGTCTGTAGGCTGGAGAGCAGCCACCACCACCCCAACTTCCCAGCAGGCCGTGCATGGGTGCCTACCTGGCCCCTGCTGGGAAGTTGACTGAACCCTGTGCTCCCCTCTGACAGAAGCCCACCTGCTGCCATCTCTCAGGCGAACACCCTCCTCACCGTCACTCCTCCCACCTTTGAACATGCCAGGAAGTCTTCTCACTCTGCCAAGAAGACTTTTATGGCCTTCAAGGAGAATGCTAGAGGATCTCTGCCCTCGCAAGACCAGGGCACGCAGACAGAGGGCGCCTATGAGACTCAGGGTAAGGGAACTGGCACCTGCTGCCCAGCAGGGCTCTCTGGGGGTGGGGTTGGGGGAAGGAGGGTACGAGTGCATTCCATACCTGTGAAACATCAGAGCTAAGGACTCTCTCATGCTGATGATATATACTGCTTTCTGCGCCACTTGAAGTTGTATTTTGGGTAAGTCAAATTCTTCTGCTAGTCCTGTTACAACCTTCCTCCACGCCAGGCCTTCCTCAGAGAAAGAGCATCAGCAAAGTACCGAGGCAGTTTCCTTCTTCAGGCTTTCCCTGTCTCTTCGTTCATCTTCCCGTTCTTATTCTGCATGAACACAGAGCCTGTTTCCCTCAGGGACCATTTCCTTCCTGGATCACAGGCCGGTCCCCAAGATGATGGGCTCCCCCAGACTCCCTGTGCCATTGAGCACACTGAGCCAGCCCTGACTCAGGACCAGCCAAGCCAGCCCAGTAAACTCTTGTGGCCACAACTGGGAGATACTCAGAAGAAAGTTCGGCAAGGTTGCAGTGGGCAACAGAAAGGCCTCTCACTCTAGGATCCTGGGATAGGATGCTCAACAACATTTGTCACCATTATTAATAATTACATCCAGCCTTGGTGAGATTGATCCATCACGGATTCACGGAACCATTTCACATCTGTAGTCATGGCAACAATAAGTTAAATTTCCTCATCA